AAAAAAAAAAAAAAAAAAAAAAAAAAAAAAAAAAAAAAAAAAAAAAAAAAAAAAAAAAAAAAAAAAAAACAACTCAAAAACACAATAGTAATCGTTTCCAGCTTGTTGTGGGAAATTCCCTGGAGCTGTGTGTTGGCAGGATTTGTGGGAATTGAATATTACACTCCAAATGAATAGGTTTTATCTGCAGAATCTTTGCAACAGTGTGATGGGATTTCCTCACTCCCATCCCCACTGGATGCAGCAGTGGCAATACCTTGTCTTAAGCCAAACCTAAGAAACATTCCTCAGAAACTTGTTCCTTTCCCTGCCCTGTTCTTAGTGCACAGTGATTTGGGTGTTTGGAATCAGAAATAATTCCTGATTGCTCAGAAATCCATTGGAGAGAATCCAAGGAGCAGTGCTGGACACCAGGCACGGGTTGGGTTGGTTTGACAGAGGTGTCCTGTGGGACTGCTGTGTGTGGTTTGAACTGGAATAGCCTGGATAAGCAAGAGGGTGTAATCATCCAGGGAGAGGATTTGTACAGTCCTGTGGCATCTTCTCACAGTCCTTGTGTTCAGTAAAAATGGATGTTCCTTGTCATGTGCAAATCCTCATCTGTCATTCCTGTAGTGGTTGTGGGACACCTGAGAGGAGCAAGACTTGGGCTTCTTCCCAGTAGCAAAGAGGCATTTTTCCTCTCTGTAGTCAATGGCTGTTGCTGACCAAGTGTTTATCAGAGTTTGTCACATGCAAAGCCCTTGAGGTGGAGGCCACAGGCTGGTTTTGAAGACAATGACCACAATGGGCTCCTTATCAGAAAGTTCAGGTTATCTCACATGCTCCAGCTATGAAGTGCTTTAGTCAGTTGTTACTTGCAGCTCTGGACGAGTGTTGGTGTAGTTTGCAGTCCCTTTTTGTGGTCCCCCTGGCAGCAATGACAGCAGTGCCAGGGGCAGGGGATGAGCCCTTCGTGGAGCTGGGCTGGGCCTCAGCCACCACAGTCCTGAAAGAGCTTGTCTGCCTTCCTGAGAAACTGCTTGTGCTGTGGCATATTCTTTTGAAAGCAGAAAAGATTCAAAACTCCTGACATCAGAAACTTGCCCTCACTGTGAATGACACTGGGGCTGTTCGCAGGCCATGGGAGCTGTTTCGAGCTGCAGCCAGGCTGGACAGACTTCACTGCTCCTGAGCCCTCATTCCTACAGCTCCTGCACTTTGGCACACTCCCTTTTCTGATTGAAGCACGTTAATCAGCCTCCTGTTAATAGAGGAATGGGAAAAACTCCCATTTTGTCTCTGGTGACATCAGAAGTGAAAATGGAGGGGGGCCAATACTGTTCTCTGAAGAGTTAAACCATGCCAACAGAGGTCTGTGGTTACCCACGGAGGGGTGGCACATGCAGATCCTTCAACTGCTATTTGTGTGTGTGCATTGAATTTGTGTACTTTCTCCTTGTAAATCCATCCCCATTTTTGGTGGGGAGTGATGTCCTCTGAGCACAGGGGCACCGGTGCCACGGCCAGAGGGACCAAGAGCTGAGCTGCAGCTCTGGCAAGTGACACCCAAGGCGTGGGCTCTGGAGATGCCTTTGTGCCAGCTCTCTGTCCTGAATTTCAGGCTGTTTGTAGTCCTGTTGAGTGTGTGCACTGTTTGGGGTGATGTTCTCTCAGATGAGTGGTGGTGTGCTGCTGGTTTGGTTTTCTACCCCCCTTTGGAATTGCTGCCCTTTGTCGATGGTACCTTTGTCCTGTGCAGAATCTTGGATTATATTAAAGGTGTTTTACTGTGGGGGCTGCTGACCTCGTCCTTCCTTTGGGTCCTGTCCTTCCTGTCAAGCTTGTAGCAAAAGGCAGCCTGAAACAGAGAGACCTGGAGTGTGTGTTCTCTGGCAGGACCCGGCACTGTGGTGAGGTGATTACACGGTTCCTGATGGTTCCAGATCTCACAAGACTACCACTGAGACCAGGTGCCAAACTGACTGTAAATAACCTCTTGACTGGCCAGTTCTGACATGAGCCTTCTTCCCTTTGCAGGGCCCAGGAATGTTTGTCCCAGCCCAGCCTGGCTTTAAAATGCAGCTTAGGGGTGTCCTCTGTCCACCAGCACCTCAAAGTTGTGACCACACAACACAGTGGCCAAGGATGTAAATTTTAAAAGTAGAATTACACTAAATTTTGGGGTTTAAACGAAACTCCCTTTTTCAAAAACAAAATAAACCCCCACCATATTCACCTCATACACAACTCGGGGCTTGCCGTGCTGCCTTATGTGGA